TAATTAAATTAAAATAAAAGTAAACTAAACTTGTACATTCTCCAAAAAAATAATAAAAATACAAACTTGTGTTCATAATTAAATTTATTAAGATTAAATAGTGAGACGATTTAAAATTAAATTAGTTTACGTCACTACTTCAATGAGGTTCCATATAATAGTTCACAGCAGACAAGTGGTCTTATCTACTGTAAAACTGAGTGTCGCTATAGATTGCTGAAGAACATCTTCCCACTTTTTTCTTTCTATTTTTTTTGCTGCATCATGGTCGTAGTCGTCGTCATTTTCATGTGTACGTTTTTTTTTTATAGATTGTATGGAGCAGAGTCATTGGGTGGGTTCGTTAACCCCATAAATATGTTACAATTTTATAATCAATAAAATGTATATTAGAATCTATTGCTTTTTGCATGTAACGAGTATATAAACTCTACTTACTTACTACATTGACATTGTAACTCTGTTCGTCTAACTGACTGACTAACTCATTGTGTGCCTTCTCCATCTATAAACGTCTAACTGTCTATCGTTAAAACAAAAAGTAAAAGAAACTATGTATCGAACAGAGTACATAGATACACATGGGTAATAGTTTCTTGTTACTAGAGTACAACATTATCATCTCCTATTCCAAATGTAAGTGTGTGAGTTTGTGCATCTGTATTTGTATCTAGTATGTAAGTTTTAGTTTAATATTCTATGGAATTTTGCTGCTGTTTTTTTTATTACTATTCATACATATACTCTGTGAAAATGTGTCATATGAGATGATAGTTCGTTTTTATATTATTTTGTTTTTTTTTTTTTTTTTTCAGTTTGTTGTTGATTTTATTTTCTATGTTTTTTTCTCTCATGATTATCCTTATCAATGAAATTTGTTGTGACGTATTATCTTGTATTTATAGTCTCTTATTTTATTTGATTTAATAGTGTTTGCCACATGCTTTTTTCGGAAGCACTTGTCAATTAAATTTGAAGTGTGCATAAGTGATTAAGGTTACCAGATGCATTAGTAAGTAGTATGTACATATGTAAATATTTGGAAATTTATCATGAAACGTGTTTTAGATGGAAACATGTTCAGCATGTTTATAGCTAATTATATCCCAAGAAAAACTTACATTGAAATGTAATTAGTTAAAAATCTATTAATACAACTTTTCATTACTTATTCTGACATTTTATCACATTACATTTACACGACGATGTTATTGTTGACAAGTACTTAACACGCTTGCTTATAAATAAGATCTTAAATAAGTTATTATAAATATTGAGCTAAACAGTTGTTTTATTTTACTCACAAGTAAAAATTCCCGACACTAAATACGGATCTGGGTCTCGTGTTCGTTGGTCAGTTGTAGTATGTACTCACAGCGCCATTGCTTTTATTGCGTTTGATACTTCGATTTTATTACTAATACCACTAAGCATTATTACACTTTTTTGTATCTTTTGTGTGGCCTGTTGGTTCACGATAACAGGTTCAGTTCACGCTCAAAAATAACAAAGGTGAATATATTCTTAGGCACTAGTTTTTACTCTTATTCTAACATTTTAACACATTACATTTACATGGCGATGATATTCATGACAAGTACTTGACACGCTCGCTTATAAATAAGTTCTTATATAAGTTTTTATAAATATTGAGCTAAACAGTTGTTTTGTTTTACTCACAAATAAAATTCCCGACACTAAATACGGATCTGGGTCTCGTGTATGTTGGTCAGCGCCATTGTTTTTATTGCATTTGAAACTTCGATTTTATTACTGAGATCACTAAGCATTACTACACTTTTTTGTATCTTTTGTGTGGCCTGTTTGTTCACCATAACAGGTTCAATTCACGCTCAAAAATAACAAATGTGAATATATTCTTAGTCACTAGTTCTTATTCTTCGAAAACAAAGCGATGGACAATTACACAATATGTGTTGAGAGGTTCTTCCTGATCGCCATAAAATCTACATATATTGATTCCATGTATCATTCACCAAGATGAATGAATGAATATTGAAAAATTGAATTGAATGAAACATGAATATTCCCGTTAGTATTCTAAGATCACTTTCCTTAAGTGATAACAGTTTATGGGATTTTCATTTTGTTAACGCTATTAACCGATTTATCGGTTCAAGTCATGTTGTAGACACGAACAGGGATTGAATTCTAAGATCACTTTCGTTAAGCGATACCAGCTTTAGAGATTTTCATTTTGTTAGCGCTATTAAACGATCTATCGGTTAAAGTCTGTTGTAGCCCCGAAAAAAATCAAATTTTGGTAATTAGTAGTCTAGGCAATAAAGCTATTTAATATGCCATCTGGTAATGAGTAGTCGTTATCAATAACATTATTTTATTTCATTTAATGGGAATGGTAACCAATTGTCTGGAGCGTCGGATCAACTAATAAGAAGTTAGTAGTTAGAACCATAGTTTATATCAGTCGTTTTTTCATTGATTTATAAATTTCTGTAAAAACTATTCCTAATAGCACTATAAAATATCTTGTTATTGGAGCACTGAATCCGTGAATAGATTAATAAACACGGAAAACAAATATAGAGCTTCGTTTAAGTCCGGTAGAGTCGGGTTAGCACATTTATAATAAGTCATTTTTTCAACCTCGTCGAACTAAAATAAGTAGTTATTCATCCCAAAAGTAAGTACCTCCACTTTGCTCTAATATTACTTGCCTGGTTTCCGGGTAAGCTAAGTTTTCCATTGAAGGTTTACACTGGCGATCAAATATCTATACGACCAACGAATCGCATCTTCCTCTAGCGTATCTTTGTGGGATACTAAAGAGTGATTCGGGCTGATAAAAAGATGTCGTGTGCTCCTATTTTCGATGCAATCAGACCGTTCATTGCCAGGGTAACCCTTATGGCCAGATATCCAACATAATATTAATCTGTTGTATCTAACTAATTCATTAAATGGTTTGTCTAATCAAAACTTATCGTAAAAAGATCAATTCTTTAGCTCAACCAACTTAGATTATTATACCCTTCACCTTTGTGAGAAGGGTATATATAAGTTTATCATTCCGTTTGTAATTTCCACAATATAATTCTGTATATATTCTAGATCCTTACAGATAGTGGAGTCTATTAAGTCATGTCCGTTTGTCTGTGTGTTTGTTGAAATCAGTTTTCTCAAGACCCCAGATATCTTTGGAATCTAAATTTTGCCAGACATGCTTTCAACAACTTTCCTCTTTAAGGTATGCCCCTATTTTTGAGGTAATCAGATCGTTCATTGCCAGGGTGACCCCTGTGGCCAGATATCCAGCATACTCTTAGTCTGTTATATCGCCATATTTCATTAAATGATTTGTTTAATCGAGACTTATTGTAAAAAGATCATCACTTTAGCTCAACCAACTTAAATTAAAATACCATTCACCTTCGTGAGAAGGGTATATATAAGTTTGTCATTCTGTTTGTAATTTCCACAATATAATATGTCGGCACCATAAAGTGTATATATTCTGGATACATACAGATAGCGGAATTGATTTAGCCATGTCCAGATATCTTCGGGATCCGAATCTTCAATAATTTGGTCAGACATGCTTTCAAGGAGTTTCCTATTTAAAAATCCGCCCATAAATAACGGAGATATAAACAAAAATCCAAAACAACCTATGAAAATGTATATATGTACAATATTGTACATATATTTATATTTCAGAGGATAAAATATTCGGCAATGTTTCGTCTCAGTTGGTACTGAGAATCGTAGATAACACTTTAAACTTTAATGTAGTGATCGAGTCTAGGGTCAGCCCCCATACAAAGTCCCCTACACAAAATAACTTGAAGATCAATAATTCACTTATAAACACTAGTATTACGATAAAACTCGGCATAAATAAATTTAATGTTAACGTAAATCCCTCTATGAAATCTCTTTATAATGATCGGCTCACATTTACCCTTGCCCCCATATAACCTCTCTTCTAGAAAATAATTTTTTGTCAACAAATTGTTAAAATATTTCAGATTAAAGACAAAAGACATCAAACATTTTATTATAAAAATTTTTAATATACTAATCGTTGGTGTATTCGGTTATGGCCGGGTATGGCCCAATCATTGGTGTATCGGCCATACCCGAATACACATTCTCAGTTATTTTATGTCCCTACGCGCCCGACTCATTAAATTTAGGCAGGTATTGGCTTTAGGCCGGCCCTCTGTCTTGATTTAACAGAATCGGTAATACTAAGAAAACCTAAACTGCAGTCCTATAAATAATAAATATTTCCCTAAATAAACGCTCTTCTATTATTATCTTATTTAACTTATCTGGTCACTTTAAAATTAATGCTACAAAGTCCAATAATCTGAATCGCATACATAATTTTACTGATATTGAATTGCTACAATAAAAACACACTATTTAAATAAAATAACAACAACAACAACAAATATAACAAAGAAATGTTAAATATTAATCAGTTTAATATTAAGCACTTGTAGTAGTCGAACCAGTACTAATTGATGGGGGTAGAACTGATTAAACAGCGAAAGTTGTGTATGTCTAGACTGGCGCTACAAAACATAGACAGCATGAAACCAGTCAGTCTTTTTAAAGCCGGCAACAAGTAGAGACAACTAAAGAAAGCTAATAATTTTATTTTGAATTTAATATACGAAAAAAAAAAAATATATAAAAATCTTAAAGAAATGTTAACCAAAACCTTAAAACATTTAATCAATAATAAAACCAATCCCGTACAGACAACCTCAGTATTGTTGAAACGTTTCATAAGTGCTGCAGTAGAGAATGAAAAATTTGTTGTTATTCAGGAGGAAAACGATGTAGATGTTACATTAAATCCATCAAAAGAACCATTAAAATTTCCCGGTGTTTGGTTACGTGATAATTGTTATTGCGAACAATGTTTTCATCCCACTTCCAAATCACGTAAACACGATTGGGATAAATTTGATGTGAAGGTTAAGGTCGAAAAATTGCAAGTGAGTTTGATTGTGTTGCTATAAAGATGGCTCTTTGCTAACTTATCTCGGTTTTGGGTTTAATGATCCATTAATTTTTTTGTATTTTTTTCTTTTTCATTTCGTGAAAAGACAAATAATGACACAAAACAACTAATTGTCAATTGGAGTGATAAGCATCAATCGGTATACGATTTAAAATGGTTGCAAGAACGTGCCTTTAATGATAAGAGACGTGAACAATATTTAAATGATTTCTATCGTCCGAAACCCAAACATTGGCAGGGTTCAGAATTTGAGAATATTGTTGAAACTTTGGAATTTAAAGATGTGATGAACAGTGATGAGGGTAAGGAAATTAGATAGATTTGGAAATTACTACCTACCTTTCTTTATATTTAATTAAATTAATCAGTAAGAAACTTCTTAAACTTTTAGCCCTTCAAAAATGGCTTGAAGCTTTGGCAGTACGTGGTGTGGTTATGATACAAAATTCCCCGCTCGAAAAGACTGTCGTACGACAATTAGCTGAACGTGTTGGTTTTATACGACGCACAACATACGGGTAATTACAACAAACATTGAAAAAAACATTTCACCATAAAATACAAATAAATTTCAATTAATGTTCTTTTTCTCTTTCCCCCACCCCAACACCTTAGCGAAGAATTTATTGTACAATCAAAACCGGGTGCTAAAAATTTCGCTTATCTTTCGGATCCTCTGCCACTGCACACTGATTTACCTTATTATGAATACAAACCAAGTTGTAATATTTTACACTGCATGGTGCAATCAAAATCACAAGGTGGCAGTAATTTACTGGTCGATGCCTTCCATATTGCCGATCGCATGAAACAGGAACATCCAGAGGATTATAAGATTTTAACAGAAACTCTAGTGGATTGGAATGATATTGGCAGTGAGGATGATAAACATTTTCATAATATTTGGCGTGCTCCTGTAATATGGTAAGTAAAAAGGGGAAACAGAGTGTTAAGGACATATTTGTTTTTTTTCACTTTAGGGATTTGTTTAACAAATTTATTGTCAAGAACAGTTTTGTTCGTTGTGGTAGGGAAGAATGAGTCGTTTTTAATGTTCATTAACGTTGGCATGGCGTGAAGAAACTTTTAATTTTAAAGCTATTCATGGTAGTGACAAAAGATAATCAGAGACAGTGGTTTTGGAGTGGAAAAAAATATTTTGTAATTATACCTTACACCCAAAATTATTAGTCCCCATATTCGGCCCAGAATCACTTTCTGAGTCTGTCTGTCCGTCTTTGTATCCTTAAAAACCTTGTCCGCACGTTACAGATCGAAGATTTCAAGATATTTTGATAAAATTCGTCACATATCCATTTTTTGACCCAAGGACGAAGAATATTGATTAGTGGTTAAACTCGGTTTATTATTTCACCTAGTCCCCGTAAAATCGTACCCCCCGAATAGGAAGCAGTATCTCCACAAAAACCGGAAGAACTTAGTTTCATATAAATCTAACTTATACTGCGCATTTTCGTAACGATCGGGCCTCATTTTACCCTAGAACCCATACAAAGTTCCCCTCAGAAAATGACAAAGATCGAAATTTTCTTATAAACACTAATATCACGAAGAGATTCTGTATAAATAATGTAGACGTTTATCCCTCTACCAATATTTACAAAGAAAGGTCAAAATATTTCTGTAATGTTTTTGTTAGTAAGTTAGTTAGTTAGTTAGCTAGTTAGTTAGTTAGTTAGTTAGTTAGTTAGTTAGTTCGTTAGTTAGTTAGTTAGTTAGTTAGTTAGTTAGTTAGTTAGTTAGTAGTTAGTTAGTTAGTTAGTTAGTAGTTAGTTAGGTAGTTAGTTAGTTAGTTAGTTAGTTAGTAGTTAGTTAGTTAGTTAGTAGTTAGTTAGTTAGTTAGTTAGTTAGTTAGTTAGTTAGTAGTTAGTTAGTTAGTTAGTTAGTTAGTTAGTTAGTTAGTTAGTTAGTTAGTTAGTTAGTTAGTTAGTTAGTTAGTTAGTTAGTAGTTAGTTAGTTAGTAGTTAGTTAGTTAGTTAGTTAGTTAGTTAGTTAGTTAGTTAGTTAGTTAGTTAGTTAGTTAGTTAGTTAGTTAGTTAGTTAGTTAGTTAGTTAGTTAGTTAGTTAGTTAGGTAGTTAGTTAGTTAGTTAGTTAGTAGTTAGTTAGTTAGTTAGTTAGTTAGTTAGTTAGTTAGTAGTTAGTTAGTAGTTAGTTAGTTAGTTAGTTTAGTTGTAGTTAGTTAGTTAGTTAGTTAGTTAGTTAGTAGTTAGTTAGTTAGTTAGTTAGTTAGTAGTTAGTTAGTTAGTTAGTTAGTTAGTTAGTAGTTAGTTAGTTAGTAGTTAGTTAGTTAGTTAGTTAGTAGTAGTTAGTTAGTTAGTAGTTAGTTAGTTAGTTAGTTAGTTAGTTAGTTAGTTAGTTAGTTAGTTAGTTAGTTAGTTAGTTAGTTAGTTAGTTAGTTAGTTAGTTAGTTAGTTAGTTAGTTAGTTACTTAGTTTGTAGTTAGTTAGTAGTTAGTTAGTTAGTTAGTAGTTAGTAGTTAGTAGTAGTTAGTTAGTTAGTTAGTTAGTTAGTAGTTAGTTAGTTAGTTAGTTAGTTAGTTAGTAGTTAGTTAGTTAGTTAGTTAGTTAGTTAGTAGTTAGTTAGTTAGTTAGTTAGTAGTTAGTTAGTTAGTTAGTTAGTAGTTAGTTAGTTAGTTAGTTAGTTAGTAGTTAGTTAGTAGTAGTTAGTTAGTAGTTAGTTAGTAGTTAGTTAGTTAGTTAGTAGTTAGTTAGTTAGTTAGTTAGTTAGTTAGTTAGTTAGTTAGTAGTTAGTAGTTAGTTAGTTAGTTAGTTAGTTAGTTAGTGTTAGTAGTTAGTTAGTTAGTAGTTAGTTAGTAGTTAGTTAGTAGTTAGTTAGTTAGTTAGTAGTTAGTAGTTAGTTAGTTAGTTAGTTAGTTAGTTAGTTAGTTAGTTAGTTAGTAGTTAGTTAGTTAGTTAGTTAGTAGTTAGTTAGTTAGTAGTTAGTAGTTAGTTAGTTAGTTAGTAGTTAGTTAGTAGTTAGTTAGTTAGTTAGTTAGTTAGTTAGTTAGTTAGTTAGTTAGTTAGTTAGTTAGTTAGTTAGTTAGTTAGTTAGTTAGTTAGTTAGTTAGTTAGTTAGTTAGTAGTTAGTTAGTTAGTTAGTTAGTTAGTTAGTTAGTTAGTTAGTTAGTTAGTTAGTTAGTAGTAGTTAGTAGTTAGTTAGTTAGTTAGTTAGTTAGTAGTTAGTTAGTTAGTTAGTTAGTTAGTTAGTTAGTAGTTAGTTAGTTAGTTAGTAGTTAGTAGTTAGTAGTTAGTTAGTTAGTTAGTTAGTTAGTCGTTAGTTAGTTAGTTAGTAGTTAGTTAGTAGTAGTTAGTTAGTAGTTAGTTAGTTAGTTAGTTAGTTAGTTAGTAGTAGTTAGTTAGTAGTTAGTTAGTTAGTTAGTTAGTCGTTAGTTAGTTAGTTAGTTAGTAGTTAGTTAGTTAGTAGTAGTTAGTTTAGTTAGTTAGTTAGTAGTTAGTTAGTTAGTTAGTTAGTAGTTAGTTAGTTAGTTAGTTAGTTAGTTAGTAGTTAGTTAGTTAGTTAGTTAGTTAGTTAGTAGTTTAGTTAGTTAGTTGGTTTATGAATTTGAATAGAAAATTCTTTAATTTAGAAGAAAATTTTCGAAAATTTATGCATTAATTTTAATTACTTTTTTTTATTTTTTTACCATTTTAATAGATTTTTTATAAAAATGTCTCTGTTTCATAAAAAACTTCGAACAAATTTCTTTTTCCAAATTTTTTTTGTTAGTTCGAAAATTTTCGAAATCTCTTAAGAAAATTAAAAATTGGTTAATTTCATAGAAAGTTTTATAGAAGTTTTAATTAATTTTATCCTTCTTATTAACATTTTTTAAAAATTCTATAAATAACTTTCGAAAATTTCTCTTTTCGTAAAAACAATTTTGAAAATTTCTTAAAATTTATCACATAAATCATTGTTCTTAAATTAAACTGATATCACGGTTGCACAAACAGTAAAATAAACGCCATTCTCAACAACAACATATGCCGCATTTAACAACAAAATATTTAAATACAATCGGTTTTACCGATAACAATAGCGAAAAACAAACTGAGAAAAAAAATCAAAACAACAAAAAAAACCCTCCACGTAGTTGCACATGGTTACCCATGCAACCAAGAAAATAAAGAAACAAAAATCGATTTTCAATTTATTTATTGCAATTTTTAACATTCTTTATGTTTCCTACCCATTCCGCTTTTCCCTACAATTCCGACGAAGACGCAGAAAACTTTGGCATAGAGAATGAGAAACATACCAATACATTTTATCGCTTTGACACTTCATTTACTTTAACACCACTTTAGTGCAAATTCCCAGGACAACCAACCGACTGGTAGAGTAGAGGGCAAACATGAAATTCATTCCATACAAATGGTGTAGTAGTTATAGTTTGCTGACGATGGCACCGCACCGTAACTATTTATATTTGTATGTTGAAGTTTATTCCCTAGAAAAAGGAGTTCGTTTACAGGAGACGACAACGATTCAGTGCCTGTTAGTTTTTTTTTTTTTGTAAAATATTTACTCATTTATTCTTCTTTTCATATTTCATTTGTATGTGTCTTAAGAGTAGTACTTTAGGCTGACAAGCGTTTGTGGTATTTATTAGGAGGGTTTAGGTTTTGTGAAAGGTTTCTTACGATTTTTAAACAAATTATTATCTTATGGAACATTTTAGAATATTTCACTTCGAAATAGGGTCACATCGGTCGAGACACCTCCTACAAAAACTAAGACCGATTTTAAGTCAATAAACTACTATTGACAGACCTTCCAAATCGCAATACTATTATTTCCCTTTATCAATGTCTACCTAATTTTTAAATATTCTATAATAATTTTTTTCCTTTTTCTCCTTCTTACAGCTTAGACAAAGACGGAAATTATACGCGTATAAATCACAGTATACCCCAACGTGACAGTCATTTCTCGGTGCAATTGAGTGAAGTTATACCTTGGTATGAGGCCTATGAGAAATTTGTACGTCTTGCTCGTAAAGATGCGTACGCTTTTAAGACAAAACCTGGCAATGTATTGACATTCAACAATATACGTCTGTTGCATGGTCGTGAGGGTTACGATGATACCGAAGATAATGTACGCTATATTGTTGGAGCCTATTTGGACTGGGACATAATCTATTCAAAGTTAAGAGTATTAAAAACGGCTGGGAAGGGAAATTAAATTTAACTTTTAATTGTAGATTTTAGAATACTTAAGCTCTGCATTAATAGCTACTCAGTACTTCCTGCATCTGACTTAGATTAAGTTTTAATCCTTCTTTTAAGTAATTGGTTATGAAATAAATAATTATATTTCTTAATAAA